GCATCCTGAGCATCTTTTTTTTGACAAGACATTCCACCATCCACCAACCCTTCCAACCTGTCACTCACCAGCTTCAGTATGCCAAGATCTTGTACTGATACACTGCACAAACACTACATCTCCATGCACGCTGTCCACAGCATTCCCAAATTTACAGAACTCCATGTCATCCCTCTGCCTTCTCTTTCCCTTCTCTTAGCTTACTCAGTTCTCCTAGAGCAGAAGCCACTTTGCACCTCTAAGCATTCCCACAGCCCCTCTCATAAGCTTTTCTGGTTCAATTACACACTTTAAGACACAGGAACCCAAAGTGGACAGAGCATTCAGGAAAGATGAGAACCACAGGCAGAAATTAATTTTTGAGCTGCCTTTCAAAAATCAGTATTATCCCTATATAGTGTCTTCTCCTTTCCAGCCTCACTGCATTCAGATAATGTATTCTCAAGTGTCTGCTCTCATAACCACCTGGGTTAGCTCACTCTGTCCTTCTTTCTACTTGTCTTCCAAGAGGAAATAAAGATACTATTGTCCTTTGTAAAATGCTCAAAGATCTACTGAAAGAACACTCTGTTCAAGAGGAAGGTGTTCACTTTTAGAGATCAATATTTTCATGTAGCCTCAGAAAAAAGGTTCAGAAATGGGCAGCAATAGTGACCCAGAGGTCTTGAACAGCTGTTCTGAGAGGAATCATGGAGCAGGACCAGGCACTTCAGGTCAGAAAAGAGGTGACTTCAGAGAAATATAAATCTCCAAAGTCATGAATGGCATGGAAAGGGCAGATAGGGTCTGACTGCTATCTACTCCTCAGCACAAGAACTAGGTGGTCAGTGCCACAAGAAGCAGGATTAAACGAGCACACACATGCAGCAAACCTGGGAAATGTCTCCTCAAAGGATGCCAGGGACACAGAAAGATTCTGGGGAGTCAAGGGGCCATGTTTTTATACCTCCTCTGTCAAAAGGCACCATATTTTACAGGGGTGCCACTTGACACCCTTTAATTCTTGTTATGCTGGTGTGGCAAAATAAACAGGGATATTCCCATGGCTGCAGATTTCTATCCCAATTCTTCCTCTTATCCTTCCTACTTCCAAACATGTACTTTCCATGCTAAGTTCCAGTTGATTTGGTTACTCTTTTTACAAAAGCTCTTCAGTCATGTGTTTTTCTGTAATATTAACTACAACTCTTTGGAGAGGGGAGAATATCTACCCCTAACTTTGGGAGGGTATATTATTCATTACACAAAAACACTATGGATTTACACCATGGCATGCTGATTTGCTCCCTCTTCTTTTCCTAGAGATGTCATTTCTATTTGCCTTTTTTTTGTTGTTTTTGACTGCTGTTGAGTGAGTTTCACAGAGCCTTATCTGCATTACTTAAAAGATCTCTTTCTTGAATGGCACAGATTCTCATGAGCTCATCACCACACAGGCACAGGGAGTTGTTTATCCCCTGTGCACATTAGTTTATATCTGCTGGTATCAAGTACCTACAACCAAGTACTGTGAGAACCTTCTGCAACTGCAGCCAGCTTTTGTTTCTGCTACCCTACTTCTGTGATTTTCAGCATATACTGTCACTTCATTACTCAGCCTCTCTTCCAGGCCATTTATAACTTAGTTCAACAACACAAGCCTTAACACGGATGCCCCCAGGAGTGAAGGGCGATCACTCTTCCCTAGAAAAGCTGAGAGTCCTTCCTAGGCTTTAACCAGGTATTAATTAATGACTGAGAAAGCTACACTGCTGCTCCATGGCCATTCATTTCCTTTAAGGAGCATTAACAAAGTCCTTTGTTAATCTCTCTCTGAAAACCCAGACACAGCAGAACATTTGCTTGTTTGTCTCTCATGCCTTCTTGTCCAAGAGCTCCAGACCATCAAACTTTACCAGCTGTAGCTGGACTCCAGCATTCCTGCAGTGACCCATGGAGGTCACTGCAATGGGAACACTTATCAAGGCAGGCTTCCAAGCAGACATGACCTTGAGACTCACTGTCCTGCCTCACTGTGGCAGGACCATTAACACTGCTCTGCAGTCACTGTGCATTCAGGTAAGTCAGTTTTTACACTGAGAAATCTGTTTTGCTAGATTTACCCTAAAGAAAAATAATTCCCCAACACTAACTTAAATACAACCTCTCCACATTTACAGTAGCAACACAAGGCAAGCCCACCACTCAAAAAGATCTGGGCTAGTATCAATAACAATCGTATTCACTGATTTTTAAAAATAAACCTGGCCATAGACCATAATCTATTGTTTTAAAATACTGATTTGCAGTTAATGAATGCAGTTTTATTCAGAGTAACTCCTCTAGGTTAAGTGACAGGGTTATCTAATACTCCAGGGCCTCTATCCCTGTCACAAACACCAGCACAGAGTCCCTGAACACGAGCATACCAGAAACTGCTGGGGAGCACCAGTGCACGGCCGTGCAAAGCTTGTCACTGGAGGTGTCAGCTGGGAAGGAGAGGAGTTAACAGTACCAGGAAAGATGTCACCCTTTTCAGCTTTTCTGAAATACCTTTCTTCAACTTTCCGTTTGTACAGTCTTGGAACTAAAACTGACCAGACAGGAATTTGTGCCCCATGAGACTGGTTTCCAGTTAGATGAGACAGCAAGAGAGTAAAAGCTCACACGATTTTTCCATGTAACGCCAACCCGTCACACAGAAATACTTTGCCAACTAATTCTTGTTCCAGCCCCATGTCTGTGCAGACACACCAATCTTGCTCACTTAGCAGGACCCAAATACATTCACAAACATGCTGAAGTTTAGCAAGGCGCAAGAAAAAGACAAATTAATGCCTGAGCTCTGACACAATGACAGCAAATAAGCTGACCAACCAGTAAAACACTGGAGGTGAACAAGCTTCAAAAGCACATAATTAGCAAGGCTCAGGGCAGAGGTCAGAAAGCCTGCTTGATTAAGTAATGTGTCTCCTGGCTGCTTATAACCGTATATGGAAAGAGATAATTTCATATTAGCAAGATAAATTTATTGCCCCTGGAATGTTAATTCAGTATCACAAGTATCCATTCGCTTTATACAAATTAAAGTGATTTTATCTAAGTGTTAAAATAATAAAGGAAGATTTGTGTCCAAGACAGCATTCCCTTGGTCATTAACTTCTGCTGACACTGAGGTTACAATTTACAGATTCCCCGAAACCATTTTTGGAAACTTACTTGGAAGTTAAATTTCTCCTGTAGCAGAGTAGCCATCTGCTAGTGGTCTGCAGAATAAATATACTTTTAATTTAATAACAACTAAACCAAAACAATTGTTTTCATTTATTGCCCATCTTTTCAGAGCTCATGCATTTCTCATTGCTTGACATATCCAACTTCTTCAGGTCTCACATGTATCACATTGGAGCCACTTAAACCCTCAGGCATTCACAATTTTGGGTAAAATTCTCTTTGTCTAAGGTGATAGCCCATTTCTCCAGGGCAGCCTCAGTTCTCAGCCCATATCTGGTCCCAGCTGGAGTACTGCTATAGCTATTCCATGGGTCAGCAACAAGCACAGTGCCACAGAAAAGCTCCAACTCCTCTGCATTCCCCCCTCTCCTCTGAGGCATGGTCCCAGGAGCTGTCATTCCCACCAGCCATACCTTGCACAAGCCCATTCCTGCCAGCCTCCAGCTCACACTGGGAACAGCAGCAGCTGTCGAAATGCAACAAATTACACCAAAAGGTGCAGCATGTCCTGGCATTCAGCAAGTCTGGCACTGCTACAGATTTTTGTGCCTGTGCCTTTGATAAGCCACACCAGAGGCACAGAGCAGCGTGCACAAAGCAATGCACAGTTTAAGGGAGCATAAATTTCTGTCCCCCATCCTCTACCAAGGAAAACTAAAGGTGTTTTAGCCTGACATCCCAGTAAGATTGTGGAAATAATTGCTCCTGTGTCTTTATTAAGCCAGGGAGATTTACAAAACAACAACGAAGCAGAGAATTTCCATTAACTTCTCTCTTTTCCCTGTGTATTTAAATAGAAGCAAATTAAAAAGAAAAGCAATACACACAGAAAGAAAAAACAAACAGAAAACCAGATAAATGCAAAGATTACCTCACTTTAAGTGGACAGCCGTGCTCACATTTGTGAAGCTGCATATTCATTAAAATGAAGTAATTTTTAACTAGCTTGTGGTTTACATGTATGACCTCGGGTATTGCCTCCTGCACCCTACCCATACACTATTCTGCAGTCAGAATTACTCATTTCTCCATCAGCAGAGTATTTGCATGCCAATCAGACACTGATTAATTGTTAACATGGTTAATTACCAACACATTTTCCAATAATATTTTCCAGTATTATCCTCGTTTTACTCTGCAAAGAGAATACATCTGTTTCTGGTGCTCAAGCCCTGATTTTCCAAAGTATGTGACATCAGGGAGTGTTTCATGTGGCCAAAGCAAAGCACCTGCTTAGTCACAACTGCCTTGGCAATCCTAGCTCAGAAATTCCACAAACTAGACCCAGGGACATAAGCAGCAGAGGAAATACATCAGTGAATTCTGCTGGAAGAATCTTGTCCCATAACACACATGAAAACAGTTCTTTATGACAGCACTCAACAAGGTTAATTATGGATGAGAAAATTCCCCTCCTCCCATAGTTTTACTTTGCTGTCCCGTTTCTGACAGAATTGGAGCACAGGATCTAAGCTCTAACTGAACCTTCAGAAAAGCTCAGTGTAATAGGAGAAAGCCTGGTCTTACAGGGAAGAAGAACATGCAGTCATTTAAGGCAAATTGGTATTGGAAAACATTTACACAACGAAGGCAAAGCAAGCTCTGTCCTGCACAGGACATGCCAAGTCCAGAGTCACTTCAAGTCAGGTTTTCTGTGTAATTCAAGGGCAGAGAAGTTCTCTATGGAGAACGGTCCTTACTAAAAACAAAAAACCACCAGCCAACACTCACCCCACCCATGAAAAAAAAGGGAAAACAAATTCCACCATGCAGCATCATATTTATACCTCCAGGGCTAGCAGCAATGAGTGTCAGACCGCAGGGCTCCACCACAGAGCTTTCTGAACTGCCTGAGCCACATTATTCATCACCTGCTCCACAGGTTGCAGCTGAAGGAAATTAAATAGATGCTTTACCAGAAAATCTCTGCAGTGTTTGGCAGTCACACATCAGTCAGCTGTAATTTGAGGAGCTTTGCCCACAGCTACCTTTAACATTACACCTCTGTGTAAATTACAACTACAAAATAATACGATGCGACAGTGGTTGCAAAGGTCTGGGTAATGGAAACGGGCCATGTGCCACCAGGGAACTTCGACTTTTCTCCTTCATTTTCAGGCAAATATAAATCATTTGCAACTGATACACAGCATTACCCTTTCCAGATATATACATACTGGGAAAAAACCCAAACAACCCACCACTGTCTCATGCTTCAGTTTCTCAGAATCCAGCAGACATTAAAAACATCATTTTACATAACAAAGTCTAGCAGTACTGACAATCTCCTCAAAGTTCTCACTAAAATAACCTCCCCCTACACAACCTGAGAGAGCAGACCTGCCAAGCTGAAGAGATTGACAAGAAAAAAATCAAGAGAGAAGGTGACTTAAAGAAATGGTTATTCAATTTTTGGAAGCGTTATTTCCTGAAGCAGGCATCACGTCATGTGAGCTAAAGCCATGAGACCACCACCAAGAAAAAAGTGCCCTGCCTTGCAGGCAGCACCTCAACAGCAACCACCTTAGGGGACTACCTGCCTCTGGAATCCTTCCCCAGCCTGCATTCCTGCAAAGGTGGGAGCGTAGAGCAGCACACCTCCCAGGGTCTCCCTCTTCAGCAGGAAAAAGAGAGTTAATATAATTAGTCCCAGGCTTAAAAATATTTACATTACTTGAGACCAACGCAGTCTGATGACCTGCAGAGAGAATTACTCCGGCAGGAACACCTCCTTCATAAATCATTCCACTCGTTATTCAAACTCAGTTTCACAAGTTTATGCTCAACTTAATCTCGAATTCATCTGCCCGTGAACCAAGGAGTCTGGTAGCCAAAGCCGTTCCCTTTCTCGCTCATGAAGAAATACATAGGGGAAAAAAATTGAATCCTACTTTCATGACCACGTATTCATTCACAGCTGCAGTGAAGATAATGGAAGGTCCGGCTACCCAGGGTACTGGGGCAAGTGGTCACAGAAAAAGAACAGCCTGAGGACGCCTCACCGGAGTTTACCTCCGGTTCTCAACAGCCAACACCTCCGGGCCAGCCGGGGCTGGGGACACGCTGTGCTCAGAACCTGCTACGCCTAAGCCCCTGGGGACAACTCTCCTGGGACAGCTCTCAGCCACGACCCGGGACACCACGGAGCTTCAACCCGTGCGGGGCGAGCATCGCCTCCCGCGTATGCCCGGCACTGCCGGCCCCCACCGCCCTCAGCACACCCCGCCAGACCCTCCAGGACCGAGCCAGCGCCCACAGCGGGACCCCCGCGCCGGCTCCTCATGCACAGACACAGCCCCGGGCCCCGCGGGACAGACCCACTGCCCGAGACAGGGCGAGCCCCGGCCCCGGGCCCTGCCGCTCACACGTACCCGCCGGGGCAGCGCCCCGTCCCGTCCCATGGCCAGCGCCGCTCCCGCCGCCGGGCGCGCTCCGCCGCCCGCCCCGGCCGCCCCTTCCGCACGGCCGGGCCCGCCCAGCGCCGCGGGCCGGGGGGGCGGAGGGCGGAGGCGGGTCCCGCCTCAGAGAGCCCCGGGGCCGCCTCACGGCCCGTCCGCGCCTCAGCCCCGCCTGCCGATCTCCAATCGTCGCGGACGGCGGGTTTTGTTTTTCCCTCAGGAACGCCACCAACGCCCTTATAGAATCACGGAATCGTCAAGGTTGGAAGAGACCTTCAAGATCATCCAGTCCGACCATGCAGCCAGCACTGCCACTGTAACCCGTAAACCACATCAGCCAGCGCCAGAACCAGACGCCTCTTGTACACCTCCACGGACCATGACTCCATCACCTACCTGGCAACCTATTCCAGTGCCTGGCTGCTCAAAGAGTCTTTTTTTTTTTTTTTTTTTTTTTTTTTTTTTTTTAATAGCTAATCTGAACCTCCCCTGTCTCGGCTTAGGGCCATTTCCTCCTGTCGCCTCACTGCAGGCACGGCAGAGACCGGCCCCACCTCACTACAGCCTCCTGTCAGGGAGCTGTGCAGAGTGATGATGTCCCGTCCCCCTCTCCACCCCGAGCCTTCTCAAAGCTAAACAAACCCAGCTCCCTCAGGTGTTCCTCATGGCGTATGTTTCCTTCCCGAGCCTTGTTGCCCTTCTCTGGATATGCCACAGCCCCTCAATATCCTTTTAGAGGTGAAGGGCCCAGAAGTGAATGCAGTGCAGCCTCACCAATGCTGAGTACAGGGGAGGAATGACTTCCCTGGTCCTACTGGCTACAATGCTCTTGATACAGGCCAGGATGCCACCGGCCTTCTTGGCCACACTGCTGGCTCATATCCAGCTGCTGCCGACCAGCCCCCAAGAGTCCCTCCCTGCTGAGCAGCTCTCAAGCCACCCCTGCCCCAGGCTGGAGCTGCAAGAGGTTATTGTGATGATCCCAAGTGCAGGATGTGGCACTTGACCTTACTGAACCTCACACTGCTGTCCTCAGCCCCTTGATCAAGTCTGTCCAGGTCTCTGCAGAGCCTTCCTGCCCTTGAGCAAAACCCTCAACCAGCCTGGTATCATCTGCAAATTTACTAAGGGTTGCTTCATCTCTTCCTCCAGACAGCTTCCAGCCTTCATTGGCTGGAGGCCATCAGTGCTGCCCTCCAGCAAAGCAGTGTCCTCTGGCAAAAGGTACAAATTAAGAGGGAAAGAGCCCTGTTGGTGCAGCTGGAACAGGGAGGCAGCTGCAATGCCTCAGCCAGGAACAGGCCCTGCGTTGGCAGCTGTGTTGCTGCACTGCAGATCATGTTGCAATCATCAGACAAAATATAGGGGAGGAGATGCCCAAAGACACCTGGACACAGCTGCAGGTAAGCCATGTGACATTCAGGCCAGCCTCCTCTAAGCGAGCTTTAGTTTTGTCTGGTTGCAGCAGCCCCTCCCTTCAGTTGCGCACACTCATCAACCTGCCATCTCACATGCTCTCACAGCTTACAGCAGCAGCTCAAAATCTCAGCTGGAACATAACAGATTTGTCTTTTGCACTCCAGTGCATCTCCCTCTCCTTCACACTGTCTCCCAGCACTTCTCCTTGTACCTCCCTTCTCAGCCATGCCGTCCCTCCCCAAAAGTCAGACAGATACCTCCCTTTTGCTGTTCCTCTTCATTTTAGTAATATGTAAATCATGGTAAAAACCTGTTAGCATACTCTAAAAACACTAGGAAGCACTTGACAGAAAAGTCTTCAAAAGGTCTTCTCATTCCGTTCTCAGAGATGAGGGAAGAAACTCCTGTCATCCACAGCCCCTTCAGATGCCTTTTATTCTTCATTTCTCTGCAGAGGAAAACTACTTTCATGGTACTAAACTACCACAGTCAGCTCAGGAAGAAACCATTATTTACTGCTCTGTGCAGGCAGGCAAGATCCAAAAGGGCAGCCCAAGCAATCTATTGACCTGAGCTTGCTTGTTGGGACTTTTCCCTCCTTGGCCCCACAGTTCCCTGGCCATTCATGCAGGACAGGATATACACTCAGTCCTCTGCTGCAGGACTGGACATTCAGGCATGAGACACATGCACAGGCAACTGGGGCAAGAGACTATGACTGCAAAACCCAATCCAAGGCCAAACACAGGTCATTCATGTGCTGGAAGAGAACTGTGCCTCAGTCACATGGGTTTTCAAACAGTCTTGAAGGACTGAACAAAATTACAATAACATAGTTAAGCATTAACTTGCTGCCACCTACCCTGTAAACAGCAGCATGGCTGATTCCCTTTGTGCTCTGGAAAGGTCAGAGCAGTTTTGCTCAGTCAACACCGAGTTTAACTGTGGATATTGAGATGCATCATGAGTAGTGCACAAGCACTAAAATACTATGACATAAAAGAAGCCCAACTTTATAGACTCTATTGTGCACCAGTTCACTTGGGATAAGGGGCACATAGAGTATAAGAAATTAGCCTGAGCCAACAAACTCAGGAAATACAATTACAATATCAGCTTACCTTGCCTGTCTGGGGATGAATTTGGGTGGGCAGGTATCTCAGGAAGCCCCTCGAGATGATGTACTCTGGGTAAGGTGGCATCTTCCAGACAGTCACGGACCTTTCCTGTCTCTCAGTCCCTTCCTTTCAGGAAGTCTGAGAGATGGCAAACACAAGAGGTTGTTGTTCTCCTCCAGAGAGTCGGAAAGCTTTCCCAGGAGAGGCGCTGGACTGATGAGTTCTTGCACTACTCCAGGTAGGTCTAAGCAAAGTTAGTGAAAGAGCCAAGTGCACCCGAAGTGTGTTTTCCCCTTGGAGACTTGTGGGGTTTGGAAGCCAGAGGAATTTTCCCCTTCACTTCAGCTGGGCTTGGACAAGCCCCAAAGTACACAGAGTAATGCAACACTGTGAAATTATGAAACCTAGGAGACAACACTCATATTTTCTTAGTATCAAAAGAGAGGCCATTATGTAATGCTTGCTGCCATGGGGGAACAGGAATGTCTACTTGGTTCCATGATTACAGAGGAAGCAGTAGCAAGTTAATGCTTAACTATATCTTTGCAATTTGGTTCAATCCCAAGACTTAAAAAAAACCTCCAAACCAGTCTTGAAGTGGAAAGTCCGGAGTGGTTTTACTACGTGACAACACAAGGCCACCCTACAATCCAACCCACTGCCCTTCCAAAGTGGGAAATCAGTGCTTTCCAAAGAGGAGCCTGTCAGTCCCGAGGAGCAGGGGATTTCTCACCCCACCTCATACGTGCTTGCCCTGGTGATGTCCCGGCCTCTTCCTGTCCCTGTGTGCTACAAAGTTACAGAAGCCAGCGCTTTGGCTATGCTAAAAACTCCCCTGCCTGAGGCTGAACTGGCCCGACTCGGTGTTGTATCAGCTCCAACTGCAGGTGGAAGCGTGCACAGCCACTGCTCGCGCCGCTCCACCACCACTGTGTGTTGTGTGAGCCACGCGTGAGGGATAAGCACAGCTGGTGCTGCTCCCCACTGGGCCGGCCGAGGAGGTGCTGCAGCGCTCGGCGGGTGCTGTGCAGCGGGGCAGCCGACAGCCCTCCCTGTGCAGCGTGCAGCCCGGGTGCCCCCGCCGGGCTCCTGCCCCGCTCTACAACCCACTCTGTGGGCGGGACGAGCCTTCCTGGCCACGTACAGACCGTGGTGCTCATCGCTGTGCCAGTGTTACCGCCGGAGCGAAGGTCCCACTGGCCAGCTACAGAATCACAGAGTCAGTCACCAAGGCTGGAAAAGACCTCCTGAGATCATCGAGCTCAACCCTGTGGCCGATCCCCGCCTTGACAAGCGGACCAGGGCACTGAGTGCCACGTGCAGTCTTTCCATAAACACCTCCAGGGACGGGGACTTTACCGCCTCCCTGGGCAGCCCGTTTTCTAATGTGTCTAATCGCCGTTTGCATGAAGGAATTCCTCCTGATGTTCGACCTAAACCTCTCCTGCTGCAGCTTGAGGCCATGTCCTGTCCTGTTCCCTGGGAGCAGAGCCCGACCTCCCCCTGGCTGCACCCTCCTGTCAACAGGGAGTTGTGGAGAGCAGGAACAGCCCCCCTGAGCCTCCTTTTCTCCATGCTGAGCCCCCCCAGCTCCTCCTCTCAGACTGGAGATCCTTTCCCAGCTCCGCTCCCTGCTCTGAGCTCGCTCCAGAACACCTGCAGGGACAGTGACTCCACCACCTCCCCGGGCAGCCCATTCCAGTGCCTGGCCACCCTTTCTGTGAAGGACGGGCAAGGCCGGAAGGGACCATCGGATGTCACCAGGTCCGACCTCCCTGCTCGGGTGGGGCGGGCGGGGGCCCCCGGCGGTCAGCGGGCCGGCTCCCGCAGCGCAGCGCTCCGGCAAGCCCGCGGGCAGCGGAGACGACCGGGCGGGCCCAGCGCCCCCCGGCCCCTTGTGTCCCCCACACGGCGCAGGCGTAGCGGTGACGCAAAGGAGCGCGGGGAGATGAGTCAAGGCACGCGCGGCGGTGACGCAAAAGGCGCGCGCCGCGCCCGCTCGTTGCAGCGGTCGGCGATGAAGGTGGCGGTGGCCGGGTGCTGCCATGGCGCCCTGGACAAGATGTACGAGACGCTGGAGCTGCTGCAGCGGCGCCACAACGTGCGGCCCGACCTGCTGCTCTGCTGCGGGGACTTCCAGGCCGTGCGGAACGAGGCGGACCTGCGGTGCATGGCCGTGCCGGCTAAGTACCGGCACATGCAGACCTTCTACCGGTGAGCGCCGCCGGCCCGGCCCGGCCCCGGGCCCCGACCCGATCCGACCCACGCGGGCTTGGCCGGGTCCAGCAGCTGCCGTGTCTCCGCAGGTACTACTCGGGCGAGAAGAAAGCCCCGGTGCTCACCGTGTTCATCGGCGGCAACCACGAGGCTTCCAACCACCTGCAGGAGCTGCCCTACGGCGGGTGGGTCGCGCCCAACATCTACTACTTGGGTAAGGTCCCTCCGCTCCAGTCCAGGTCCCCCGGGGTTTCCCCCACAGCCCCTGCCCTGCCCGGCCCCTCCGTGACCGCCCTCCCGTGTCCCGCAGGTTACGCGGGCGTGGTGCGGTTCCGCGGCGTCAGGATCGGCGGCATCTCGGGCATCTTCAAGTCTCACGACTACCGGAAAGGTACCGGGGCAGCGGGGAGGGGAGAGCCGGGGCCGCGTTGTGGTGTGAGGGTCTGCCTGTGCTCACCGCCAAAACCTCTCCTAGCCTGGAAACCCCTCTTGGTTCAGTACACCGATTGTTCTGGAGTTGGTAGACGAGTCTGTAGCTGCCCAGTGACCACGGCAGGAAGCAAGGCACCTTTGGAGCGTTGTTGGAACAGTGTTGATTTTTCCATGGCAGTGTCCTTTCAGCGTGCAGTGCAACACTGTTTGATTTTCCTTGAGTGAAGCAGTCAGTTTATAACTGTGGCACTGTATGAGTGTATTGTCCTGCCCTGAGGTTTAGGGAGTGTACATCTGGTTCCTCCTGGTTATGTGGGTGGGTATTTGAGAGTTCTTCCTGGGAAGGGTGTCAAAGATGATACCCCATGTCAGTGAGTAGAAGATAGTTTATTCTTTCTGATCTCAGCACTTAGAAGAGTGGTTCTTGTGGTTACTGTACTGTGCTGTCTTTAGTAACAAACAGCTTCACAGAAGCTTTGCAGGTGGCTGTCAAGCTGCAAAGTACTGAACCAGTTTTCTAGAACACTTGATTCTGTCTGATACTTGCCAACACTAATTCAATTTGCTGTCATCAAGGGGGCACTTCATACGCTTGAATATTGCATGAGGGAGATGACATGAGACTCTTTAGGCAATAACTAAAAGAGCAATTTTTCTGTTAATTCTGTAGAGTATGTAGGAGCTATGCTAGGCATTCATGTGTTTTGTCCCAAGGCAAAGTTGGAAAGTCATCCCTTATGTCAGGCTACATGTTGGTGCTTCCGGAGCCTGTGGTGCCTGTGGACAGTGACTGGGATGTTTAGGCTGCTGCTGAACCTGTTAAGCTGTAGTTATGTGATGGGTGGCAGCACTCTGAACAATCATGAAAAATCACAGCCTTGTATTTGGGGTCACTCTAGGTGCCTGTGTGACCCCAAAAAGCTGCTGTGTAGGAGGGAACTAGTGATTCAGGCAACTCTTCTTGTTTGCAACATTTCAGGCCACTTTGAGTGCCCACCATACAACCAGCAGACCATCAGAAGTGCTTACCATGTGAGGAATATTGAGGTCTTCAAACTCAAACAGGTCAGTGGAAAGTCTCTTCTTTTAAGCAAGGGTAATTTTCATTAATTTGGAAGTAGGAAGTTAAAGCTACTCTGATCAAGTATGCTGAATATTGAACATGCTTTAACAGGTTGATCAGACATCTGAGGGGTGTGTCCTTTGAGGACTATTATGCTTAGCCATTATCCCTTTTAAATAAAGCTTTTGAAAATTTAATGAGGAAGAAGATGCCTTTGTGGGCAGAGGACTTGCTCTCTATGATTTCCTCTGAGTGCCTGACTTATGGTGATGATATGAACTCTTCTATAAGGCAATATAAAGCACAGCTGGCTGCCTCAATTAATTTCTAAACTCCTTTGTCAACATGTTGTATTTATGCCATGTGCTTTTTGGCCTGACAGCTGAAGCGTCCCATCGACATATTTATGTCACATGACTGGCCAAGGAGCATCTATCACTATGGAAACAAGAAACAGCTCCTCAAAATGAAATCCTTCTTCCGTCAAGAAGTGGAGAGCAACACGTTGGGAAGCCCTGCTGCTTCAGAGCTTCTGCAGCACCTGAAACCCACCTACTGGTTCTCAGCACATCTCCACGTTAAATTTGCAGCTTTCATGCAACACGAGGTAAAGAGGGACCAAAAATGAATGTATGTGTCCCAGGCACACTTTAGAACTCTCATGCAAGTTATCAGGTCCAGAAAAGCAATTTAGTAGTTTTTGTTCTTAAAATTCAGTTAAAACCATGAAAGATTAAGTGGTGTTAGGATTAGTGTTTTATGTAAATTAAAGAGATGTTATAAATGAGGGGTGTAAATGACTCCTGATCTCCTTTAAGAAAGGAGTTTAATGAAATAGCTATTGTTCTTGAGACTTACTAATTTAACTGTGTAGAAAAGCACTCTCCTGCTCTGCTGGGGAAGCAGATAACTTCACAATAGCTGAGAAAAAGGAGGCGACTTCAAAAAACCTGGTAAGGGAGTGATTGAAGAGAGCAGTTACCTGAGGGTGGGAGGATCCCTGGAGTACAGCTTTGCAGGCCTGGTAGCCCAGGTTTAAGCCAAAACCAGCCTGTAGTTGAAACAGTTATTCCTGAAGTGGTGCCAGTGCTGTTCCTATTTGCAAATTATTTAATTTGCAAATTATGTAAAAATGTTAACTCCAGACCTTGTAGAATCAACAGGTCTGTTGCCAATTAAGTTACAGTTTTTCTTTTTATTCTGAGGCTGAATGTGCTCAGCTGAAATTAGTTCGTGCTGAAATGTAGCTCTTGCTTTATCTTGCTATTATCTGCTTCCTGCTGGACTCCCAGTCAAGCCTGTCATTCTCTTGTCCCTGCTAATTTTCTATTTCAGAAAGTATTTTTCTGTAGAAATTATACCTTTGAACCTGTCTATACAGCTTGTTTAGAATGGTCAAATTTCACATAAGTGCTAATGATTGTGTTCACACCATTTGCTTCCTAGACAAACTCCAAAGAAGAGTTACCAAAAGCAACCAAGTTTCTGGCTCTGGATAAATGCTTGCCACACAGAGACTTCCTGCAGGTGATGAACGTTTGTAGAAGGTTTTCACTTTAAGTATTTGATTTGTTTGAACTGCTAGTGCTGTTCTTAGGTATAAGACGAAGAATAGTGCTGACAACTGGAGGACTTTTAAAGAAACTAGGAATGCTGGCTGTGTGGAATGGTCTTTGTAGGATTTTGTCCTGAACTAAGCAGACCATTTTGTGTAGGTACAGTGTTTCCTTAATCCTACCATTTCCATCTAGCTTAGAGCAAGTACCTGACTCCAAAGGATGAGTCTAAAATAGATTGTTGAGTGTGAGCTGCTGACAGTGTTTTTCAAACGCACTCAGGTGTTTTATTAGTAATAGAATAGCTTTTACTTATCATTACAGCGGGAAAGTGGTGCATTGTCTGTCCTTTGGATGTGTGGTGGGATCTATTTGCCCTAGTAAATACCTTTGAAGGTGAAAGAGAGTATGAGGATGGGCTCTATCTATGCAAAGGGACATGAATGCTAGTCCAGACTTAAAATCGTAGAACAAAACTGATCTGGATTAGTACTACCTCCAGCAGCATGGAGGGTTTAATTACTTTGTGGAGTATTTAGAGTCTGACTAGGGTTTTGGCTTACCCACATGGTTTGATTTGGGTTAATGTCACTGAAGACAAAGTGATCTGAATTTCAGTTCATCATAAAATAGTTTGAAAATGTTTCCTCTTAATTCATAGCTGTGCTGAGAGTGGTGTTCATACAGAATGACTGTTCTTGACTGTTTGTATCCACTTAGAAGTGTCTTGGTTTGAAAGAGATGTCTGCCAAAGAAGGCAGGAATCTCCCTTGGAATAGAAAATATGGCTCTCTACTCTCCATATTATTACAGCTTTTAAATTATGGGGCTTTGAGGCAAAGATACGAGAAAAGCAATAGCAGTTCTTCACTAGAAAATGTGTGTATATTCTCGGCCGTCTCTGGGCTGCGCTTTCCCCTTGGCTGCAGTTCCGGTCACAGCCAGCAGAGGCGCTACTGGCTCCCGGCCGTCGGGCAGGGCGGGGCGATGATTCCCCCCGCGCCTGCAGGGGACGCTGTGGCGCAGTCTCGGCCCCGCTCTGCCCGTGGTGACGGCGGCAGAGAGGGCAAAGGGGCTTCCCTCGCACCCCCGCAGGGGCAGCCGGGCCGGTGCCCTCGGGACGGGGAAATGGCGGCGGCAGGAACCGCGGGCCGCGGCTGGAATGGCAGAGGCTAGCAGGCCTCCGGGGCAGTGAATCGAAGTGTAGCACTAAGCCCGAAGTGGTGACAGAGGCAAAAGGATTGGGGGGTCCTGGTGGGTGCTGGGTTTCGAGCTAAATTGTAGCCAAAAACCCGAAGCAGTGGCAGAAAATGGCCGGGGCTGTGCAGTGGCAGCCAGGCTCCTGAAAGCAGCTGGGAGATGCTCCCTTGGAGTGAGGAGCAGTTTTCCCCCGAGGCACCCGAGTAGATGGGGAGGGTCCTTCCCAGGGAGGCTGGGTGTTAACAGGTCCCAGTCCCACGGCCGCTCTGAGGAGCAGAGGCTCACCCACAGTAAGGAGAGCCAGTGAAGGACAGAACTCCACAATGGCAGCGGATTCTCCCTGCAGCAGCAGCCTGGCACAAGACCACAGCTCTCACCTCTGATCTCTAGGAGTGAGCGAGGGCCAACCCCAGCCTCTCACCCCCAGCCAAAATCTGGCAGTATCACTGCCTTTCCTGGAGAAATCCCCCCAGCTAAGAGATGTAACAAACTGCATCCTCTCCCTTGTCCTGGCCGCATCTTTTTTCTCTTAAGTATCTGTTTTTCTGTCTTCTTAGGCAACAAATGGGAGAAAAATTCCTTAAGAGAAACTAAAAAAGAAAAAAATCCTATCCTCCAACAGAAGGCAGCATGAATTTAGAAACAGGCAAATTCTATTTCTGAGTTGCATCACTGTCCGGTTGCTGGCAGTAAATGAGGGAGTGTGTTCTGCTTTTTAATTGCTGTAAGCTGAAATTTAGAAGTTCCTTTTTTACTGCTACAGATTGTCCTTTGTTAGCCCTTCGTGGAGGGCTGGCTTGAGAGGACTTGTTTGGTTGAGACCACTAGCTCAGTGTACTTTAAACTTCATTAAAACTGTGTACAGTGAATGTAACCTTTGAAACTTTAATCAGATTCTGGTGTCAAGAGAAATAACTCACTTAATCTGTTTTCTGTGTGTTTGTAAGTAGATAATAGACGTGGAGCATGATCCCAATGCAGGAGACTCGCTGGAGTATGATGCTGAGTGGATTGCAATCCTCAAGGCCACCAACAATCTTGTTAATGTGACCCAGAGCTCCTGGAACATGCCTGAAAATAATGGCCTCCATGCCAAGTAAGTAGTCTGCAAAATAGAGATGAAAGTGTGGTTTGTTTGTTTGATTTTCTGGACTGGAAGTAAAGTTACATCGGAGTTGTGTTTCTGTTCTGCAGCCTGTAGGACTGGCTAAATGCCTTGGAAAGAAAAGGGGATATTGGCAAAAGATGTAGTCTAAAGCATACAACTTCTTTAATGTTCTACCTTGGCAGTTAGTTTTGTTTCGCAAACTTAGATACCAGCACTTGAGGGACAGAAACTATACCATGAGGTATAGTTCCTGAAAATCAGGCTGGGTTATAGGCATGGGTTGACATAATACACTAATCCTTGGTAGGGAGAAGGGTGTCTCAGTACTGACCAAAAGCAAATGAAAACCTTCCTGAAAAAGTACTTGAGGAGTAAAGCATCTATTGTATGATGAATTTATAATCCATCTTTGAAGGCTGCACTCTGTGGTGGGAACAGGCAGTACCTTTTGACTTGCTGCACTTATTTAAACTTTATGCACTTGTTTAGGTGGGATTACAGTGTGACAGAAGAAGCCATTAAAGAGGTGTTAGAAGAGCTGAACCATGACCTCAAAATTCCTTGCAACTTCACATTGACAGCTGCTTGTTACGATCCCAGCAAACCCCAAAAAAACATGGAGCCAGTTCATACCATCAATCCACAAACCACTGAGTTCTGTGCCCAGTTTGGCCTCACTGACATCAATGACAGGATCCAGCAGGCTAAAGAAGAGAGCTCAGGACGAGGCGGATGTGAAGAGGAGGAGGAAGAGGAGATGGACAGTGCTGGGTCAGCCGAGGAACCCAGTGAATACACTACAGATAATTCTGGCCTCTCATCCTTTAATCCAGATGAAATAATGCTGGATGAAGAGGGTGGTGATGAAGACCTGAGTACATGTTCTGTAGATCCCTCCCCTGATCACGCTCCCGAGTTCTCCACGAGCTTCTCCGACATCCGGATCATGCCAGACTCCATGGTGGTGTCGTCTGACGATGCCACGGACTCCAACAACGAGGAACTGGAGAAGTCTGGAGGGAGCAAGCAGGTGGAGGAAAAGAGCTCCACTGAGAGGCCGTTAAAGCGCATTGGTGGTGATGAGAACGGGGACAGCGGCGTTAAGAAAATCAAGAGAAGGAACCAAGCTATCTATGCTGCAGAGGATGAAGATAAAACAGATTAATAGTTCACAGGGTGTGTAACTAAGTTCTCCAAGCCTTTCTGTGGGAAGGTGGTGAGAATTGTACTGGACCACATGTGCTTTTAATGTTACATGATCTTAGTCATGTTACTTTGCTAAGCTCAGAGGCTGGACGTACTTCTTGCAGGGAAGGTGATTTACACAGAATAGACATCAAAGAAAGAAGCTGAGGCTTTTCCAACAAAGTACTTTGTCAAAGGATGTAAAGCTGGTATAACCTTGATTTTGCTTCAGTTCTTGGTGTATGGTGTACGCTCCATATCTTCAGCTGAACAAGACTCACCATGCTTGTTTAACAAGAACTCTTAAACTGTAGCCTGAGTCCAAGCAAGAGGATGTCTGACTTACAAGACGGAATGATTTTATTTTATTGCTTTTATCTTGTTTTATACTGGATTATTAATACAAAGTAGCATATGCAGTAACCCTGTGAAATTTGAAATTAGAATTCCCATGATAACAGAACAGCAACAGAAGAATGAAGATTTTTGTTTCTGGTGATAGTCATGCCACAGAAAAACTTTGTGGTCATAAACAGAAAAATATGTGTTGTCCAGGACTGGCTTTTAATGACAGTTCTCATAGCAAACCAGGTCTCTTGCTTTGGAGGACGACGGTTTTATGGGGACCATGGAAGGGTGCATTTCTGTTCTTAAAAACACTTTTTTGTTCTATTTCTTAAAACTTGAGAACGATGTCTTAAAATGAAAGTAGTTAGGAAGGACAGCTTCCTGAATGTGGTCAGCACCACTATCTCACCTCTGACTAATTAGGGCTGAGTTTGGTGTTGGTGCAAGGCGGTGGGTGTGTAAGTTGTCTGAGACAGTAACACCTCCCATTGTCATTAGAGTCACCTTTCACTTGTCGTTTCAGTAGCTGTAACTTGCTGAACTCTTAAAACTGGATTTAAAATCTTCCAAAGCACTTTTGTAATGTTCAGCTAAGGGAGAACTGAGGAGTTCAGGGTTTTTTTTTTTAATTTTTGTTTTCAATTTGTTTTTAAAATAACACCAAAGAGCTGTGCTGAGCTCCTCAGCTGCCAGAATAGAGACCCTCTTGGAAGCTTCCTTTTTTTTTTATTCTTGCCCTGAATTATTAGTAAATGGCACTCCTTTGGCCTGAGAGGCACAGGGATAAAACTGAGTGAACTCATGAAAATGACAATGTTTTCAAGCATATGTCGTTAGACTCATTAGCCTTCCTGACAGATGGAATTCTTAGATGGAATTCCTTATGGCTGTGCTGCCCTGCCCCAAGAACAAAAGTAGCTCCTGTGCTTTTCCTCCTCCAAGGTACAGGCACTGAGAAGGGAGAAGTCATCCTGACAGGAACAGGGAACTGGACAGGGAGCAGTGAGTGAAATACATTTGTGAGTGTGAGTTGTGTATCGGGGTTGGGAATTGATCTGTTTTTAAATCACTTCCATGGTCTGGAGTTCATCTTGCTTCCTCTCCTGTCAAGCAGTTCATTACAAAAACTAAACATGTTAAGTACTCAAGGGCTAGAAAAGGGCATAATTAGTGCTCTCAACAGTTCAATTAACAGCTCATCTGTCAAAACAGCCACCAAAGAGCTGTGCTGAGGTATGAGGAGAAACTGGGAGTAACCGGGGTGTGATACTCAGGGTATGTAAAATGGCTGTGAACTGTCACTAAGTTATTGAAGCAGATGAGTCTCTTTAAGGGTCCTGGATCTGCAGTGGTAAAATCTTCATCATGCCTCATGATCTGAACACTATAATGGAAATAGTGTTTTAAATATAAATTCTGTTATGGACTTGAAAAGCCTCCCAAGGAACCTACGCATGGCATTGAGCTCTCAGGTCTCTGCACAGGAATAGAAGATGTATAGTGCATGTAATAGACTTTTCACTCTGATTCCTTTTGTTTTTAAAATAAACTTCTTTCCTGTGTTGTCCCATGCCTCCCCCCTTCTGATAAATGTGTTTCTAGAAGGCAGGAGATTCTGATTTTTGAACCTTTAAAGATTGCAGCGTCCATTGCACAGAGTGCAGCCGGTAAATACAGTGAACAGAAATGTTTTTTGAGTGTGAATCATGTCTGACCTCTAGAGTTGCCATGCCCTTTCTTGCAGTTGTTCACACCCTCTTTGCAGTTTGCAGTGTCCTTCCCTGACTTGCCTTCATCCATGAGGGATTTTCCCTGTCGGCAGGATTCTCTGTTGCAAGGAGGGTTCAGAAGAAGTGCGGAGCTTTTCTAGTAAAGGCCAGATACTTCAAAAAGGAAAATTCTAGGGAATGCTGAGAAATTTAAATTGGCTTTTAAGACCAGTCTCCAGTCTTCCTTAAAAAGATTTAGTCTTTCTGAAAACTTTTGAAATTTTGATGAGAAACCTCTGGAAAACCTTTCTCTGTACAACCTTGTATTTTTTTCAGTGTGTGTACTTAGTCTAAAACTATTTTTGCTGTTACTAGTGCCTGAGATAAGTGTTGGCCTGTTCCATCTCAGGCCAGCACAGAGGCTTTTTCACAGCATCTCATCAGTCTGCTCAGAAAAACAGCAGAGAGATATAGCCTTGTTTCATAATGGAGTATTTTAAAATCTATTAAAGTCACCTTGTGACTGCATCCTAAGGTATGTTTATTGTACTCCTGTTATCCTGTGCAGTCTCCAGCAGCTGCCAAACCTCTGGTTTCCTGGGAAGGGAATAGGTTGAGAGGTGTGAGCCTGAGCTGTGATGTTTCTGCTATCTTTTCGTAGTTTTACCATCCTCCCGTTTAGTTCTGACTTCAGGGTGGGTACAGTCAGTGTCCCCTCGGGCTGTGTCATACAGTGGGGCTAATAAAAAAGTAGCAATCTTGTAGACCCTGTAGCACATCTTAGTGAAGTCCTGGGTCGTTTGGGGTGTTTTCTGTGAAAAACAAATTCAAAACCAAAGAAATCAACGCTGGCAAAAAAAGCAACGACAAACTAAAGCAACCCAAACCGACTGAGTGCGGCGAGGCTGAGGGGAAAGGGCGGGCTCGGCCCCGCTCGGGCTCGTTTCGGTTCGGGCTCGCACAAAGGCTCGGCAGGCTCGGGCTCGTGTTCGGCTCGGGCTCTTTCGGCTTAGGTTCGGATCTGCTCGGGCTGGGCTCGGCTCGGGCTCGTTCCCCCTCGGTCTCCGGCTCAACCGGGCTCAGGCGCGGCTCGGGCCGTCACTCTCCGCGGTCCGCGAAGGCCGCGCCCTGCCCCGCGCGTGCGCACAGCGGGCACCGTGCTGCACGCGGGTGGCGTGCGGCGGCGCAGGCGCGGCCCGCTACCCCCGGCCCCCGCCCGCCGCGCGCCCGCCATGAGCCCGCGCCCGCCGGCCTGAGGCGCCGCCGGTGCCGGAGCGCTCCGCCAAGATGGCGTGTGTGCTGGAGGCGCCGCTCCGCATGAGCGTCCTCTCGGTGAGTACCGCGGGCCGGGCCCTGCCTGACCTTGGCCCCCGCTGGGCCCCGCTGTCCGGCGGCGCCGGGAGCGGCCCTGGGGCTGCGCCGGGAGCGGGGGCGGTGAGGGCGGCGGGGCCGCGCTCCTTCCCTCCGCACCCCGCGCCGCAACTTCTCCCGGCGCTGGTTTGCCCCCTACGAGGAGCCCGTTCCGTGGTTGCGGAGGCACCGGCGCCCTGGACGTGTCGTTCGCTGCTGACGGCTCGGGCTCGCCGGCCCCGGGCAGCTGCTGCTCGGCACGCGGAGGGCCCGGCGCTGTCGGCGCTGCCCTTCCTCGGGGGCTGCGGAGCCGGGCAGGGGCTCCCGGGTGCGCTCGCAGCCCGCCCCGGCTCGGGGGCTGAGCTGGTGCCGGAACCGGGGCTCTCTCCTCGCGGCGTCCCGGCTCCTGCGGCAGGGAGGAGCCGCCGTGCTGGGGGAGCCTGTGACAGCCACCTTCCCTTCCCTTCCCTTCCCTTCCCTTCCCTTCCCTTCCCTTCCCGGGGGACGGCCCAGGCGCGCAGCGGTCCTGCTGCATCGCGCCGGTGCCGGGAGTCGCGATGCGAAAGGTGCAGCCCGCGTGCTGCCGCAAGAGCGGGGGGTTGGCGCTTTCCCTTCTGCTTCCTGAAAAATACACCTTGGTTAAGAGTTCCGTGAAATTGATTATGTCGATAATTTTTTTTTTTTTTTTGAGGGGACTGCCTGCATATAAATACACTTGTACATACTGTAGACTTCGTAGCTGATGGGGTGGAAACCAGCATATTTTAGAAACAGAAAGCTACGGGTTCTTTGAAGTCTAGAAGAGTTTTACATGTAAATACATACTTCAGATAGCTAGAAGTCTATTGCTATTCTCAAAAATACTGTCTTTGGTTACACGGTGGAAGTGTATCTGTAGGACTTACGTGGCATAATTTAACAGTGTTCCTGGAGACAAAGGAGCCTTGCTGCCTCTAGATGATTCTTCTCTGTGATGTGAGACCACAGGCAAGAAGCTGCTGGTGCCTCTTGGCATCGGGGTGGGGAAGCAGGAGTAGGTTCAACTCCATAGCAGATACTTGCTAAAGCAAGGAAGAGTTTTCAACTCTTAGAGCTTCTCTCAAAGAAAACTCATAAGGAAGAAATGGGAAGCTTAATGAAAAGAGAGCTGGCAAAAAGGAAAAAAAAAAGAAAAAAGAGAGATATAATGGCAACACATCCTGGCAAGTGTTCCTGAGAACCTGGAGACCTGGAGGGAAAATTCCCTTCCCCTTTCCCACCCTTGTATTTTGGAATGCTTGCCATCTCTGACTTTTGGATCTTCTCAAAAGGAATAACAAATCAGTGGTGCATAAGTGAGTAGCTTACAAGCACAGTCCTGTTGCTGGGAATAGAATTCTCTTTGTCTTATACAGCACTGTGAGAATAACTGCAGTTGTGGGGAGTACTGTGCTGCTGTCCCATTGCAGGTCTGTGGCACAGGCTCTGAAATGTAGGTATGTTATGACAAAGTAAGTTGCAGAAAAATGTCTTGTTATGAGCTTCCTTCTTTTGGAGAGCTTGTTTGTGGGTATGCTTCTTGAGCAACAGTAACTGCTCTTTGAAACTTTTTCTTCCAGGAATTTATTTTTAATCTATATAGTAATTAAACATACTAAAATTGTGATTCAAGGCAGTGCTAATAACTGCAGTTCATAAATAGCTCTCTTTTAACTTGCTTTGACACTTACCATGTTGTTATCTACATAAGCACCTCATCTTCTCTAGATTACACTTGAACACTGGGTTATCTTTGTGTGACGTTGCCCAGCAGTAACACACTGCACATTTAAATACAGTTCTGTGGGTTCCCTGCCTCTTGCCTGGGAAGTTTTGTACACTTGCTGCTGCATAAGCCATGTATGGATTGATGTAAACTGTTGCAATTGTTTGCTCTCTCTCTGCAGGAGGTCACAGCCAGTAGCCGCCACTATGTCGATAGATTGTTTGATCTCGATCCCCAAAAAGTCCTGCAAGGTGTCATGTAAGTCATTGAAACACTCTTGGGCTCTTGGTTGTGCATAGGCCAGGTGTACTTGATCCCATGAGAGTGATAAGTCAAGGGCAAGAAGCTCTTCCTATGTTTTTTTTTAAGAAATGTAGTTGGCAAATCTTAATACAAATATGTCAGTATTGATATAGAGATAGTATTGATATAGACTCTGACTCTGTAGTGCATATGGTTCATAACACAGCCTCCCAGTTGCCAGAAATGAGGTTAAACATTCTGTGAGCACTGAAAATTTTTTTGGATGTATTTCTGCCTTTTGGCCTTGTTTTGCTCCTCTTCCAGGTCTGTTGAGACTCTTTGTTCTTACTGCACTGCCAAGTCAGTGTACCTGCCTCTTACTCTTTCCCCTGCTGCCATGCCTGCGTGTTGGCTTTGGCTTTTTTAGTGCTTGGCTTCTGTCTCCCCACGGGAACTGTAAGCTGCAAGAGAATGCTCCCACAGAACTGAATTTGGATGCAAGTTGTATTTCAGTACTTCTGTTTCATGCCAGCGGTCAGGGTAGGGACTGAGAGAGTGAGTCAAGGAGCAGGAGTGAAACTGCTGCAAAGCTCTGATGTTCCCTTGCTGTCCTTAGGCCATGAACTTTCCACTAGAATAACTTTTCCAGCAAAGTGGCAAATGAGTCCTTGCCCAGGACTGACTTTGGTGGTGAAACCAGACCTTTTTGGGCTTACCAGTAGCTTGCTGGCTATGGCTGTCTAGTAAAACACCAGGAGAAATCAGAGGAACAAGTAGATCAAAAAGCCAGGAATGTTGGTTGTGTTGCTTAGCATGACCTGAGGTGTTCCCCAGTAGCAGATGAAAACACTTATTCCAAATGCCTGGGGCAACATGTGAGTGTCCCTTTAAAAGAACCCAGTCTAGGTAAAACTATCCTGGAAGTTTTCTTGGTTGGGATACCCCCTTGCCTGTATAAAAACTTTAGATACCCTGCTGGAACTATGTGCAGGTTCTTAACTCTGCCCAAGGGGAGCCTGGTTTTGCTTCCACCCTTTGGCCTTTGTGGTCCCCTCCTCATAAGGGTGGTGGGGTGGTCCTGGGGAAGGATGTGTCTCATCCAGTGTCCCAGTGGGGTGACTTAGCCCCTCTTTTCTCCCTGGCAGATGCTCTGAGCCATGGCTGGTGCTCCGTCCCTGCTCTCCTTCCTTTTCAAAGGACTGGAGCCCACAACCCTTGGTAATCCCTTCCCTATCTTTTGATATGTTATTCATCTTTTGCAGTATAACTGATCTCCCAGAAACAGGAGTTTTAGGCAGTATCTTTGTCTTGGGTAACATCTGAAATTCATCTTGTCTGTGGGTGTCAGTGGATTCTATGCTGAGATCCTTTTCTTGTATTTAAAGACAAGAAAATACCAATTTATTTCACAAAATCTCTCATAGGGCAGATTTGGATGGTAATACTGTATTTGTGATGCTCTGGCTGAAATCTTAATTGTGAGAGTATCTTTACTGACTCTGAGCCAGTCCTTTGTGGCAGATG